AGACGGGGTTTCACCGTGTTGACCAGGATGGTCTCGATCTCTTGACCTCGTGATCCACCCGCCTCGGCCTCCCAAAGTGCTGGGATTACAGGCTTGAGCCACCGCGCCCAGCCATGTCTAATTTTATTTTATTAACAACTTAAAAACTATTTATTTGAAGTTTATTTAAGTCATGTGAACTAAATAAAACATTTGCATAATTAAAATGTATTTTATATGCATGCCCATTTATCCTAATAAAATTTTTAAAGAAATTTCTGGCCAATGACAGTGCCTTTTATCATTTAGACTTAATATATAACGTAATATATGTACATATGTAGAAACACTTCTAAACATATATCCATAGAAAGAGACCTTAGAGCTTAGAGTTTAGTCATAAAATAGTAAAACATATTAACTCATCAGTTGATTAAAAACATTTGAATCTAAATCTTTTTTTTTCTTTGACAAAATGGGATAAGCCTAAACCTTAAGTTTTCTTTTCTTTTAGTTTGGCTTTGTCAAGAAGCAGTTTTACAAAGGCTGTGAACCAAATTTTGGAGACAGACAGTTGAGTCAGTTACCAACATTCTGGATCAGACAAGGAATAAACTTTCAGAATGTGACTCAATTATGTGAGGAGGCCCCCCAGAAGATTGTAACAAGGTTCATACACTATTTTCTTGGTCTCAACTACTTGTCTTCGGCCATAATAATGTTGCCATTCCTTTTGGAACAAGAAAGGTGTCTTTTACATGGGAATTTCACCTTTTGCTTTTAAGAAACAGCATAAAAGTAAAAATGATTTTATTTTTTATTTTCTTTCAAGTGTTTAAGTGTTTTTGTTTTGGTTTGGTTTATTTTGTTTGAGACAGTCTCCCTCTGTCACCAGGCTGGAGTGCAGTGGTGCGATCTCTGCTCACTGCAACCTCTGCCTGCTGGGTTCACGTGATTCTCCTGCCTCAGCCTCCAGGCTAGCTGGGACTACAGGCATGCACCACCATGCCTGACTAATTTTTGTATTTTTAGTAGAGAGGGGTTTCACCATGTTGGCCAAGATGGTCTCGATATCCTGATATGGTGATCTGGCCGCCTCGGCCTCCCAAAGTGCTGGGATTACAGGTGTGAGCCACTGTGCCTGGCCTCAAGTGTTTCTGCTTACATAAGCAGTATGCCAGAATATTTGAGGAGCTTGGAAAAAAAATTTAGCTTAGAGAAAGATAAAGAGGAGGAATTATAAGACAAGGGGAAAGGCCTGGAGAGGAAAGCGTGTCAGTTAGCTTTGAGATACTGTTTTGTAGCAAGGCACTCAATTAAGAGATGAGGCTTATTTGGAGTACATAATTTTATAGTTGTGGTCTTTTAGTTTAGATTTAAGAATAGACTGTTGAAGGATCTCTGCAATATTTGAATATGTTACCAGTTGGAGTCCCAGAAAATATGTCGGCATGCCTTTAAACTTTGAGAATCCATTTGTAACTAGATTTATCTAGGTGATTTTGTTTAATGCCAAATACACAAATGCCAATTAAATGCAAGCACTGATTATGAAAAAGCCAAATAAACCCAAGAAGGAAGATCAGCTGCCTTCTCCAAATGAAGGAAAAAAGAAAAATGCTTTTGTAGAGGCTTTAACCTGAAAAGAGAAATCCTGTCACCCAGACCTCATAGCTGAGATCTGCCAGGAGGAAAATAGTTCTCCCTAACAGGAGATCTTCCAATCAGAGGGAGAAAGACATCTCCAACCAAAATCCAAATAAAACAGAAGTTAACTAAAATTGGGAGTTGAGTCCAAGAGACTCACCAGGAAGAAATGAGGCAAGTTGCAGAAGCAGTGCAGTCATGAGAGTCAATGAGCCCCTGTGTGAGTACATCATGCCCTAGCGCTGTGGACCAGTGATTCTCCCAATCTGAATCCTTTGGAACACAGCTGGACACCAAGTAGGTCAAAATCAAAATAAAATATAGAGACAGATCTCTGCATTTAAAATGTTTTATTAGAGAGGTGCAAATTGTAATTTGGCATAAATGCAGGGACCAGGGGGTCTTTGGTTTGTCTAAAGAAGAAAACAAAGATTGGAGGTGTTATTTAAAGAAGAAAGTTATGTATTGTTTTGAAAGAAAGTTTACTGGCTCTAGTAAAGTTTCGAGGAGCTGGCAAGTTCTGATTGGTGTGTGACAGTGGTGGGTAAAACCAGTCTTGCAGTCACAGCAAGTTATTTTAGCTACTGTTAGGTAAAACTGGTTTTAGGCTACAACAGGCAGTTTTAGCAGCTAGGTTTGTAGAAAATTACATTTTTGAAGCAATGCTATGTGCCCTGAGTGCCTTTTTCCCCTGGCCTGTCCACTGTGTTTTAGTTGCATATGACAAGAATGACCCCATTTGTTTCATCAATTTTTACAGATCAAAGAAAGTTTAATTTTCTTTTGGGTAAATCCAATTAGCAAATGCGGATGGTATATGAGCTCCTCTTCATCCTCATTCTTAATGCCCCACCCCATTTTGTTTTGGCAGATTTAATTCAGACTGAACTAAAATTTTAGTTCAGACTTTTCCCTGTGGTAACAGTCTTGAATAAAATAGCCATTGTCTGTGTGACGTTGTTCAGTGCAATTCTTGCTCTGTCAGAAGGTACTTCATCTTTCCAGTTATATCTTTGTGGACTCCCAGTTTTACATTTTGTTCAATAGGTTATAATCTCCTATTCTGGTACTCAAATTGTTTCAAATTCAGACATGACAGTCCTGTCAAAAAGTGCCATGTCTATCCTTGATCTCCAAAATCATTTTCTGGCTTAAAGTTAAAAAAAAAACAAACTCAGCAGAATACCTGTAACCATTTTTGCCAGTGTTTGAAGTGAGTTTTATGTGTAGCCTGATTCATAAGAATAAATTAACCAGACAGATACAAAACTTCAACTTTGTTTAATTAAAAAAAAACTTTGTTTGTTTCATCCTTAATAATCTTACTTTTTGTTGCCCTATTATCTAAGACATTAACTTAGTGTATTTTTTTCCTGCAAATCCATTTTCTTTCTGTGTAGCATCTAGCTGTTGCTGTACCATCATCACTGAGGTAGGCACATTCTTCCCTCCCTTTCACGACAAACCTGCAACAAAGGGATTAGCCATTATGTAGTCACGTGATTTCTTCCTTGCCCACTGACAGCTTTAAACAAAAATTCTACTTGTCTAAAGTGCAGAAAGGTGTGCTCTGGCACAGTTCTCTCTTGCTAGTGTTGAGATACCTATACTAGTTGGGATCAAAAGAGTTTCTTTTCCAAGAATTTGTATATGTTAAACTGGCATTAGGTTAGTTACATGTAATCAGTGGAGGTACCAGATCATATAAACCAATGGTTTTCAATTAGGAGTGATTTTGCTTCCAAGAAACAGTTGACAATATCTGGAGATGTTTTTTATTGTCACAAGTGGAGGAAGAGGTTGAGTAGGGTGGATAGTTTCTGTCATTTAGTGGGTAGAATCCAGGGATGCTGCCTACATCCTACAATGCACAAAGAAAAGTACCCCTTTTCTATGACAGAGAAGTATTCAGCACAAAATATCAGTAGTGTTTCTGTTGAGAAACTCTAACATAAACTAAGTGGCTGAGTGACTGAGAGTCACCATTTAGGGTGTGTACACACATTTTCCAAATTATAACACTAAGGTATGAAGCCCAGGACAAATTGCGTAATAGTGAAATTGCAAGTGAAACCAGATTAAAATGAACATCAAATTGAAATTGACCTGTAAAAGATATCAGAAAATAGGCAATAAAAAGTTTAAAGAAGAGGCATATAATTGGACAAGATAGTTTATAATCAGACAAAAGTTTAAATTGGGGTGGAGGTGGTTGTGTATATGAATCTCAGGTCTTTATTTTTGAAATAGCCAACAAGGAGGTTTGTTCCCTTTTATCTTAATTTCCAACCTTCATGATTGACTCCTTAAATAAATCTCAATATATACGCAATGTCTCCTTCATCTTACTAACATGTACAAAAATATTGGGCTCTAGAGAAATTTAGCTAAAGGATAAGTCCTAGAGAAGGCTGCACTATCTAAATTTAAGTGATTCCAGAAAGAAAGAAACTCATGATTTGTTAAATTTAGCTCCATCTACCTATTGTCCTGTTTGATTTTTTGCCATCTTCAGCCCAATCCAGTGATCAGAACTGTGTTTGTACCGCCTAAGAAAATGCTTTAGAAACAAAATTAATTTCAAAATCATACATGTCAATTTTTACTACAACCTATTGTGTACCTCTTGTTTTGTAGGTTGTGAAGTGCAAGGCAACAACTGTTCAACTCCTGGCCTCACTAGAAAATAACTATGGAGTTTTTAAAAATTATTTTTTCTCTGACCTTCAGTTTTCTGATTTGTGAAACAAATACGTGAGATATGTTTTCTTTAGATATGATTCTAAATTGATAAATTTTCAATTTGAATATCTATTCCTTCACAATTTTCAAACTAAGCCACAAGAAAGCCAAGGTTTGAAATTGAGCCTTTGCATAGCATTTCTAATATTTGCTTATACTATTTGCCCACTTCCCAGTAAACATTTTAGTGTTCTGTCTTACTTCAGTTTATCTCCCCAAACTATATATGTAAACACTCACACACACACACCCTCATATATCCAGTTTCTTTATAATCTAATTATCAAATTTTATTTTTCTGCTAAACATTTACATTTCCAAATACATCATTTAGAAATAAATACAATTTTTTTCCTGACATTTCTCCTGCTGATGTATTTTTTAACTTACTAATACCCTCGACTTTTTTCTTTAATCATAGAATTATATGAGAAAGTCCTTGAGGCTACTCTGCTGCTAAATAGCTTGGAAATTACAAGCTTCACATTGTATCACTCTACTTTTGAATTTAAGATAAATATAAAGGAGTTAGGCCAAATCACAACACTATGGTCAAATCCCATCTACCCCAACAGTGAAACTTGTAGCTTTTGGCGTTTTAATACACCATCTTCACAGCATTGAATAAACCAATTAAAAAATTAATTAGTTGGGCCAAGTTTGGATTTACAAATAAACCGATTAATAAAAACACTGTCGTACGTTCAAAGGCCTTCATTTATAGTGAGGAAAATAATGCAAACATAATGTTAGAAAATATTCTACTAGATATGGAGAAGTTGTGAGTGTAATGAAGACAATGTGAAATTGGAATTTACAGAAAAAAAAATGAGTCTTTAAGGGAAACTTTGATACAGGATGTGCTCCAAGAGAGGAGTAGAATAGTCCATGTAAATGCAGATGCCCAAGGAAAAGAGGGTGATTCATAGTCTAGACTCAGGAAAGAACTTCGGGAAAGGCTTCAGGAGAGAGCTTGAGTGGTCTTGGTGACGGAGAACTGGGAGATTTCCTAAGCCTGCTCTGTGAAAAATGTTAACATTATTTGCTCAATAAAAGCTTGCCCCATTTTAGCCTTTTGTTAGAAGTGAAATAATTCTAAATAGGTGGAAATAGATATAAAAGTATTTTGTAAGACAAACTTTATCTCGTATTATTTTGTAATTAAAATGTACATTTAAACTATTTTAAATAATCCATTAAAATTCTCATGTAAATTTCTTCTCCACTCCACAGACAGCTTTACTTCACTCTGTTTGTCACTTAGATTTTGCCAGTGTATATATTACATAGTAGTTACCCGTGATCTTCAAAATGTATTAGGATATTTTATGATCAATGTTTTTTCTTCATCCAAACAATACAAGCATTCTTCCCTGATACATTTGAAGATTTCTCTTAGGTTTAAAACAAATTATTTTTGTGTACCCCTGGTCTTTACATTCTGTGATCCTCACTACTTAGTCAGTCTTCGCTGACAATATTCCTAGAGTGAATATACTTATTTGAATATTGATTGTCTTTACATTTCTTCATCTTTCCTTTTATTAACATTCATTATTTTTCCATCTTGTTGCTTGTATGGATTTTTTCCCACCAAAAGAAACTCTAAGAAACAGAGGATTTCTCAGAATGTTCATTTTCAAAAGTCTTGCAAAATTCAGCAGCAACACTATTGACTAAAGAAGCCCTATGATGTTAAGCTTGCAGCTTAGTTCTTGATTTACAGTATCTACTCCTAATCCATCTAGGTTTCAACATTTTATTACCTTTTGTTTCTTGCAAAATAGTTTTGTTTCCTTGCACTGACCTATAAACTGGCCCCGCCTGATTCACATGCATTTAAATTTGAACTGATCTTCAGGCAGATTGCATAAATAAACTTTGTTCACCACAAAGGCAACACACAACTGTCTTTTAACAATGTGGACTCTTGTGCTATCCTGCTTTTCATTAAAACACTTCTCAATAACAAATTATTTGCAAAAAAATATTTTTAATCAAGCTATACTACTTCTCATATTTTCTTTTCATTCTTAAAGAGCCCAAACAAAGGTAAGTAAAAATGTATGTTTACAACATAAGTCACTAGGGGAAAAAACAAATTTCACAAATGCAGAGGTGTGGTTTTATAATCCCGTTTTAAAGTTCTTGGAGAATCTCTTTACTCATCAAGATTTTGTCATGTAAATCAAAATTTATTCAACAAGGATTCATTAGACTTTTCATTTGTACCTGATTTTGTGCAGCAACAATAAGGATAAAATTTCAGAGAAGACATGGTCATTCTCACTGAAAATTTATACTCTGGTGTAGGAGGAAACTTTTGATTTTCCTCTTTATTGCATTACTGGTGGAAAGGGTTCCAATGGAAGCTGCATGGGACCTCAGAGACAGGCAGCAAAACAAAATGGGGAAGTCAGGGCAAAGTTTCTCTCAGGAAGTAGAATGGAGAAGCCCCTCCTTCCTCAGACAATTTTCCTTTCTTGGCAGAGTACTGGCTCTTAAAGTGTTTCCAAACATTATCTTCTGTGTACACTCTTTAAAATACAAAGATAATTACTAAGTCTACTACTTGATGTCAGTCTTACATTCTTCAAACAAAGTATCACTAGGTTTTTCACCTTTATGTCACATGGCATATTCTGAACACCTTCAATATTCTGCATAGATAGGCATGAGTAAAAAGACTTCAAAATTTTAATGGTATTTGAATATTTCTAATGTTCCAACTCAAGATAATTCACAAAGAATGTATCGTAAATTACTTACCATTTCTTCTTTGCTGTCAATTTTAGTTAGGTCAGTATGTTGAGTGGAACAGCTGTATTTACTTGAATTTCAATCTCCTTCTTCCTTAGAGAAATAATAGCATTTGTTTTGGAAACCAATCCAATCATATGGGCAAAATCTTTGAGAATCTGGAGTTAGTTTAACTGAAAATGAGACAAATGCATATCTTAGGACCATATAGAATAATATGTATTTTGAGATCACTGGACACAGGATTTTAATGTAAAAGATTATGGTCACTATAGAATTTGTATAACTATCACGTGACAGTTTGAAAAAATTTTATGTCTTGTCATGTTAGGTCAAATGACAGTAGTTTAGGATATATCACGGCATTTATATTTCTTTCAACTTCAACTTCAGTGATATATAGGCCTTCCAGAAGCCACCAGAATTATTCTACTTGAGTAGGGTACCCTTTCCATTTCTGGGTAAATAAAATAAAATGAAATTCTAGCATTATCTAAGAGTAATCCAAATAATAATTTGTATTAATCAGTCATGAATCTAGATACATGATTTAATCTACAAAGAAGTCACAAAAATAATAAAACAAAATACAAAGTAAGTTGGATTGTTTGTTGTCAGCTAGGTATCACCATCACTGTATAGCCTTCTGCTAGCCAATGAATGGAACTTGCATGAGATTTGGAAGTAAAGAAGAAGGTATAATTTCTGTAGACCATGAGCATAGGAACTTCACAGGTCTTTCTATGTGTTCCTGTATTGCAGTTTTGTTAGCTTCTTAGGCTTTCTTCCAAATGCGTTAATGCATTATGCGAATATTATTAGTCATCATTTCTCTTTCAGCTACACAGCCCCAGTCTTCAGTTATGCATCAGTCCCAGAACTTCCCACATTCATGTTATCCCTAATTTCTATATTAAAGCCTTATTCTCACAATATGTGTTTGTTTTTTGGAACACACCCAGACTGAATCAGTTTTTGGTACCAAACATAATTCTAAGGAAACAGACCTTGAGGATGAGATATGGTGTTAGTTTTTATGTATTCACTTTAAAGGCATTGATCCAACTACCAGTTAGAAATAGGATGCTGATTTGGTTTAAAGCCTATTTTACAAAAAAGAAAAAAAGAACCAGGATGCTGATGACAGTGGAGCACAGTGGCAAAATAATTAGTTGAATTATCACCTATAGTCATCTGGGGCCAAAGGTCTATATAAGATAAAATTTTATATGCATACACAGTGTGTGTGTATATATATGTATATATGTATGTGTACAGATAAGTGTGTATATATCTATATACACACATGTGCATATATATCTCTCATATACTGTGTAATAAAAATTAGTGTTTGTATTACTCTTAGATAATGCTAGGATTTATTTTATTTCATTTACCTAGAAATGGTAAAGGTGACCTACACAAGTAGAATAATTCTGGTGGCTCCAGGAAGGCCTACACATCACTGAAGTTGAAGTTGAAAGGAATATAAATGCCCTAATAAATCCTCAACTACTGTCATTTGACCTAACATGACAAGACATAAAATTTTTTCAACCTATCATATGATAGATATACAAATTTTGCATTGACCATAATCTTTTACATTAAAATCCTGTCTGTCTTCCATGGTCTCAAAACACTGTAGCATCCATACTTACAGGATGCAACTAAACTTGTGAGATGCAGCAACTCTCTTAAAGCTTAAAGAAAAATTTACTGCCTTAAATTTATGTTTCTGAAATGATTAAGACTTTTGAAATGATAATTATTCTATCTTACAAAGTTAATAATAGTGATAAAACCAAAGTAGAAAGACACAATTTAAAAAACAAAAAGAACAGAAACCAATTGAATAAAAAGTTAATGCCAAACAGAAAAAAATTTTAGTCATAAGATGACCTTTGTTGAATACTCTAAAATAAGATTGATCACTAGAAAAACTGATTTAAAACAATTTAAAAGTGAGAGTAAAAACACAAATTAGCAACACAAATAATGAAAATGTAGAAAAATTTCTAGAACACAGTTTAACATAACCGACAAGATAAAAGTAGTATATCTAAAAAATACTATATCTTATTAAAAAATTAAATCTTTAATTTAAAAAATTACACTAAAGAAATCTCCCAGTCCAGATGGCTTCTGTAGAAATATTTCTAATCATTTAGGAAAGGCATAACACCAACGTTATACACACTCTTTCAGAAAATAAGACGGGAGGCAATACTTTCCAACCCAATTTAAGAAGCCATTATAATCACATCAATACCTGACAATAGTATTAAAAGAAAGAGAAATTATAAGTCAATCTCTTATGAAGAAAGTAAAATAGAAAGTAAATATAGAATTTCTATAAAAATTTTGTGCATATATCTTAAACAAAATACTATTCAGTTAATTGAAAAATGTTAAAAGGTTAATAGGTTATGATCAAGTTGAATCTATCACAAAAATTGAAGCTTATCTTAATATAAAATCTGTGTAGTTCAACCTATTAGCAGAAAAAAGAGATAAATATCTCAATAGATCAAGATAAAGCATTTGATATTTAAATTAAAGAGAAGTAAAGAGATTATCTTTAATCTGGGAAATATTAAAAATGTTTTCATTGATATTCAGAGTGAGACAAACATGTAAGCTGTCACTACTTATGCTCAACCTTGTACTGGAAGCTGTAGCCGGTAAAATAAGGGAATACAACGAAAAAAAAGGCCTAAGGATTCCAACAGAATAAGGAAAACAATCATTATTGGGAGATAATCTAAATTTTTACATAGAACCTGCAAAAGAAACTGAAGAAAATTTATGAAAATGAATAGTTAACTATAGCAAATTTGCTATATGAGGCTCACATAGATATATATTAAATACATATAGACAGTTTTTATATGCCAGTAACAGACTGAATAGGAAAATAGAGTTAATAAAAATACTTCTACGCTACTTACAATTGCATTATAGAGTACTGAGTCTTTTTAAAATAAATTCTGAAAATGATGTGTGTGAAATCTATTCTGAAAGCTATAAAAAATTGCTGGCAGAAATTATGGAACACCAAATGAATATTTTAAATGTATCATTCAATATTAAGATAATGATTCCATGAAAATTGACTATCGTATATTGAAATCTCAATCAAAATTACAGATAATTTATATGGCGGCATAAAGGATCTAAAATGCTCCATGGCAAACTTGAAGAAAAAAATAAAACTTTTAAAAGATTTAAACAACCAGACATCAAGACTGCTCTATTAAGACAAAATGATGCAGATACAAAGATAGATAAAATCGAGTAGCTTAATATAATAAAATTTTAGCAAAAATGATCTTCAGCTACACAGTTGGTTGATGACAAAGACCAACTGTGGTGAAGTTGGGAAAGCATTGTCTTGTTGGTAAGTTGTTTCAGGTTGAAAGATTACCTAAATGGGAAAAATGCATGCTAATCTCTCTCTCTTAATATTTATAAAATTTACCTTTAAGACGACTATGTTTTGGAAAGTGAAAGGAAAGTAGAAACCGTACAAAAATATTTTTATGTCTTTGAAGTGAAGTGAATTTCTTAGAATGAAAAATATAGTTATAGTGACAATAGACAAGGACACAATTACACTACTTTAAAATTCAGAAGCTCTGTTGATTAAAAGGCATGATAAAGAGAGTAAACTTAAGCTTCATAGTTAAAAAAGATATTGGCAATACCTCTAAACTACAGTCTCATCTAGAATATTAAAGAATTCTTATACTCTTATGAACCAAGCAGAAAAAGGTAGCTAACACACTAAAATATGGGCAAAGTATTTAAACATTCCCATAAAAATATTGCATCTAAATCAACAGTAATTATGAGGTACTGAACAGCACTGAGCATCAGAAAACCGTCAAAGCCAAAATTGGGTAACATGCACTTATCAGAATGGCAAAAATTGATAAAACCAACAATAAAGTAATAAATGGCATGAAACTATTGGCATTGTCATACACTTCTGCTGAGATTATCTACTATTTATGGTAAATCATATTTGGGTTAATCTATGAATATTCTGTGCTTAATAATTCTTCTTATAAGTAAATATCATGTTATATCCAGTATTCATTAAAAGACAAAAAATATAAAATATGCAGTTGTTCAAAATCACCCAAATTGCAATAGTCAAAATGTGGCACAATCCAAATGTTGATCAGAAGTGAAAAGATATATATGGTGGTATATAAAAGACATATATGATGGTATGTACATAACAGTGGATGCACTATAGTAAACACCTGCTAAAACAGCCTTGGACCAACAGCTTATCTTCTGCTTTTGTACAACAACCAGCTAAAAATAATTTTTTTTAGTTTAGATTATTTATTTATTTATTTTTTAAATTATACTTTAAGTTCTGGGGTACAGGTGCAGATCCTGCAGGATTGCTACATAGGTATACACATGCCATGGTAGTTTGCTGCCTCCATCTCCCTGTCACCTACATTAGATGTTTCTCTTAATGTTATCCCTCCCTAACTGCCCCACTCTCTGCTATTGCTCCCCTAGCCTCCAACCTCCCAACAGACCCCAGTGTGTGATGCTTCCCTCCCTGTGTCCATGGGTTCTGATTGTTCAACACCCACTTATGAGTGAGAACATGTAGTGCTTGGTTTTCTGTTCTTGTGTCAGTTTGCTGAGAATGATGGATTCCAGATTCATCAGTGTCCATGCAAAGGACATGAACTCATGCTTTTTAATGGCTGCATAGTACTCCATGGTGAATATGTGCCACATTTTCTTTATCCAGTCTATCCTTGATGGGCATTTGGGTTGGTTCCAAGTCTTTGCTATTATAAACAGTGCCACAATGAACATACCTGTGCATGTGTCTTCATAATAGAACAATATATAGTCCTTTGGATATATATCCAGTAATGGGATTGCTGGGTCAAATGGTATTTCTATTTCTAGATCCTTGAGGAATCGCCATACTGTCTTCCACAGTGCTTTAACTAATTTACACTCCCACCAACAGTGTAAAAGTGTTCCTATTTCTCCACATCCTCTCCAGCATCTCTTGTCTCCAGATGTTTTAATGATCAACATTCTAACTGGCATGAGATGATATCTCAATGTGGCTTTGATTTGCATTTCTCTAATGATCAGTGATGATGAGCATTTTTTCATGTTTGTTGGCCACATAAATGTCTTTTTAAAAGTGCCTGTTCATATCCTTTGCCCACATTTTGATGGGGTTGATTGTTTCTTGTAAATTTGTATTAGTTCTTTGTAGATTCTGGATATTAGCTCTTTGTCAGATAGGTAGCTTGCAAAATTTTTTCCCCATTCTGTTGGTTGCCAGTTTACTTTCATAATTGTTTCTTTCACTGTGCAGAAGCTCTTAAGTTTAATCAGATCCCATTTGTCTATTTTGGCTTTTGTTGTCATTGCTTTTGGTGTTTGAGTTCTGAAGTCCTTGCCTATGCCTAAGACCTGAATGGTACTGCTTACATTTTCTTTTAGAGTTTCTATGGTGTTAGGCTTTATGTTTAAGACTTTAATCCATCTGGAGTTAATTTTTGTGTAAGGTGTAAGGAATGGGTCCAGTTTCAGCTTTCTGCACATGGTTAGCTAGTTTTCCCAACACCATTTATTAAACAGGGAATCCTTTCCCCATTGCTTGTTTTTGACTGGTTTGTCAAAGATCAGATGGTTGTAGGTGTGTGGCATTGTCTCTGAGGCCTCTGTTCTGTGCCATTGGTCTATATCTCTGTTTTGATACTAGTACCATGCTGTTTGATTACTGTAGCCTTCTAGTATTGTTTGAAGTCAGGTAATGTGATGCTTCCAGATTTGTTCTTTTTGCTTAGGATTGTCTTGGCAATGTGGACACTTTTATGGCTGCATATGAAGTTTAAGATTTTTTTTTCAGTTCTGTGAAGAAGGTCAATGGTAGTTTGATGGGGATAGCATTGAATCTATAAATTATTTTGGGCAGTATGGCCATTTTCATGATATTGAGAACTACAAACCACTGCTCAAGGAAATAAGAGAGTACACAAACAGATGAAAAAACATTCCATGAGCATGAAAGAAGAGGTCCTTCACATCCTTTGCTAGTTGTATTCCTAGGTGTTTTATTCTCTTTGTAGCAATTGTGGTGAATGGGAGTTCACTCAAGATTTGGCTCTCTGTCTGTCAATGGTGTATAGGAATGTTTGTGATTTCTGCACATTGATTTTGTATCCTGAGACTGCTGAAGTTGTTTATCAGTTTAAGGAGATTTTGAGCTGAGATGATGAGGTCTTCTAAATATACAATCATGTAGTCTGCAAATAGAGACAATTTGCCTTCCTCTTTTCCTAATTGAAAACACTTTATTTCTTTTTCTTGCCTGATTGCTCTGGCTAGAACTTCCAATACTATGTTGAATAGGAACGGTAAGAGAGGGCACCCTTGTCTAGTGCCAGTTTTCAAAGGGAATACTCCCAGTTTTTGCGTATTCACTATGATATTGGCTGTGGGTTTGTCATAGATAGCTTTTATTATTTTGACATACATTCCATCGATAACTAGTTTATTGAGAGTTTTTAGCATAAAGTGCTGTTGAATTTTGTCAAAGGCCTTCTCTGTATCTGTTGATATAATCATGTGGTTTTTGTCTTTGGTTCCGCATGTGATGGATTACATTTATAGATTTGTGTATGTTGAACCAGCCTTGCATCCCGGGGTGAAACCTGCTTGATGGTGATGGATAAGCTTTTTGATGTGCTGTTGCAATCAGTTTGCGATTATATTGAAGATTTTTGCATCTAAGAGGTATCAGAATGATGTTGGTCTCATAAAATGAGTTACGGAGGATTCCCCCCTTTTGTATTGTTTGGAATAGTTTCAGAAAAAATGTTTCAGCAGCTCCTCATTGTATGTCTGGTAAAAGTTGGCTGTGAACCCATCTGGACCTGGGCTTTTTTTTAGTTGGTAGGCTTTTAATTGCTGCTAAGTTTTGGACCTTGTTTTTGGTCTATTCAGGAATTCAAATTTTTCCTGGTTTTGTCTTGGGAGGCTGTAAGTGTCCAGGAATTTATCCATTTCTTTTAGATTCACTGGTTTATGTGCATAGAGTTGTTTGTAGTCACCTCTGATGGTAGTTTGCATTTCTGTAGAATCAGTGGTTATATTCCCTTTATCATGCATCTGTTTGATTTTTCTCTCTTTTATTTTTTATTAGTCTGGCTAGTGCTCTATCTATTTTGTTGATCTTTTTTTAAAAACCAGCTCCTTGATTTATTGATTTTTGAAGGGTTTTTTGTGTCTCCATCTCCTTCAGGTCTGCTCTGATCTTAGTTATTTCTTGTCTTCTGCTAGCTTTTGTATTTGTTTGATCTTTTTCCTTTAGTTCTTTTAATTTTGTTGATAGAGTGTTGATTTTAGATCTTTCCTCACTTCTCCTGTGGGTATTTAGTGCTGTAAATTTCCCTCTAGACACTGCTTTAAATGCATCCCAGAGATTCTGGCATGTTGTGTCTTTTTTCTCATTGGTTTTGAAGAATGTCTTTATTTCTGCGTTCATATCATTATTTATCCAGTAGTCATTCAGGAGCGAGTTGTTCAGCTTCCATGTCGTTGTGTGGTTTTGAATGTGTTTCTTAATCCTGAGTTCTAACTGCTTGCACTGTGGTCTGAGAGACTGGTTGTTATGATTTCTGTTCTTTTGCATTTCCTCAGGAGTGATTTACTTCCAAGTATGCAGCCAATTTTAGAGTAAGTGCAATGTGGTGCTGAGAAGAATGTATGTTCTTTGGATTTAGGGTGGAGAGTTCCGTATATATCTGTTAGGTCTGTGTGATCCTGATCTGAGTTCAAGTCCTGGATATCCTTGCTAATTTTCTGTCTCATTGATCTGTCTAATATTGACAGTGGAGTGTTAAAGTCTCCCACTATTATTGTATGAGAGTCTATGTCTCTTTGTGGGCCATTAAGAACTCACTTTATGTATCTGGATGCTCCTGTATTGGGTGCTTAGATATTTAGGATAGTTAGCTCTTCTTGTTGCACTGATCTTTTTATCATTATGTAATGCCCTTCTTTGTCTCATTTGATTTTTGTTGGTTTAAGGTCTGTTTTATCAGAGACTAGGATTGCAACCTCTGCTTTCTTTTTTGCTCTCCATTTCCTTGGTAAATCTTCCTCCATCCTTTTATTTTGAGCCTCTGTGTGTCTTTGCCTGTGAGATGGGTCTCCTGAATACAGTATGCTGATGGGTCTTGACTTTTTATCGAATTTGCCAGTCTGTGTCTTTGATTGGGGCATTTAGCCTGTTTGCATTTAAGGTTAATATTGTTATGTGTGAATTTGATCCTGCCATTTTGCTACTAGCTGGTTGTTTTGCTCGTTAGTTGATGCAGTTTCTTCATTGTGTTGATGGTCTTTCCCATTTGGTACATTTCTGCAGTGGCTGGTACTGATTGTTCCTTTCCATGTTTAATGTTTCCTTCAAGAGGAAGGAAGGCAGGTTTGGTAGTGACAAAATCTCTCAGTAGTTGCTTGTCTTAAAGTATTTTATTTCTCCTTTGCTTATGGAGCTTAGTTTGGCTGGATATAAAATTCTGGGTTGAAAGTTTTTTTCTTTAAGGATGTTGAATATTGGCCCCCACTCTCTTCTGGCTTGTAGGGTTTCTGCCAAGAGATCCACTGTTAGTCTGATGGGCTTCCCTTGTGTAACCCAACCTTTCTCTCTGGCTGCCGTTAGCATTTTTTCTTTCATGTCAACCCTGGTGAATCTGACAATTATGTGCCTTGGGGCTGCTCTTCTTGAGAAATATCTTTGTGGTGTTCTCTGTATTTCCTGGATTTGAATTTTTGCCTGACTTGCTAGCTTGGTGAAGTTCTCCTGGATAATATCTTGGAGAGTGTTTTCCAGCTTGGATTCAGTCTCCTCATCACATTCAGGTACACCAATCCAATGTAGATTAGGTCTTTTCACATAATCCCACATTTTTCGGAGGCTTTGTTCATTTCTTTTCACTCTTTTCTCTAATCTTGCCTTTGTGTTTTATTCATTTAGTTGATCTTCAATCTTTGCTATCCTTTCTTCTGTTTGATCAATTCAGCTATGTGTATGCTTTGCAAAGTTCTTGTGCTGTGTTTTTCAGCTCCACCAAGTCATTTATGTTCTTCTTTAAGCTGGTTATTCTAGTTGGCATTTCATCATGTAATTAATAAAATGCATTAATTGGTACCAATTAAATGTTATTATGAATAATGGGAAAAGAGATACTAAGAAAAGATCATAATTGAGACAGAAAGGAACAGGATCACATACAGAATACCCTGAAAAATAAAATAAAGAATGTAACTTACCTATTAGTACAGTAATAGCATTAGATATTATTATTAAAATAGCACTCATTTTGAAACACTTTTTATGTCTGCTCATAACACCTAAAAAATAAAAATAAAGACATTTCAGAGATTTCTGGCTCCAAAATGATGGCACAGAAGTAAGTTGGCTTTAATGAAAGCCAACTTTCAGAAAACAACAACAACAACAAATTAGTGCTGTGATTGTCATCAGCAATATCCCAGATCTCAAATATGAGAAAGAGACAGATCCTGGAGCCCCAGAAAAGTGAAAATACAAACAAACAAAAAACTCTGTACAGATAATAAGAGAATTAGACTTCCATATCCATGATGCCACTCCTTGCAAACTTCCCAGTACCCAAGTGCATGGCAACATCATTCCTATACTGGAAAATGTGAGATTAAGATGGATAACCAGCTTCCCCACAAGCTGGACTTCCCTGGCAGGAAACTTGCCCCTGCCTTAACCCTTGAGAAACATCAGGCATGCCTGAAGAGAGACATACCTCTCAGGACAAGCAGAGACAAAGTGATGTGGAAATAATACCATCCCCAGTACCAGAAACTCTGCTCTATTACTTGGCCAAAGAAGTTGTCAACTTAGAGGGGCTGCTGAGCAGCAGCATGCTATAGGAGGTCTGTTCCACAAGTCATGTGGGCTGGAATCCTAGTCAGTCTTCCAACACTACTAGCATATCCACTTTGGAGCCTCTCCCATTTGGTATGGGTGGCACTCTGATTGTTTACTAGGATCAAAGCAAACAGGGGTTAAGGTACCATGTAGTCATAAAAAGGAGGCAGAAACATAGCCCCTGTCCCAAAAATCAACAGGTAAATTACAAGGAACACTTAAACAAATATGTTCAATATAAACCAAAACAAGCCATATAAAATCCTTCAACACAAAAACATAGATGCATACCCATAAGAAACAACAGCAAACAGGGAACTGTGATATCCTCAAATGGAGAAAGCTGGAACCAGAGACAGGTGTTAATGAGACGGCAATGTTTGAGCACTTGTACCAAGTATTCAAAATAGTAGTTTTAAGAAAACTCAGTGGTCTCTAAAATAACACACAAAAAATCAGAAATTTGTCAGGGAAATTTCACAAAGGGATTGAAATACTTTTTGAATATCAAAAGGAAATATTGGAACTGAAAAATACATTTGCTTAACTGAAAATTACATTAGAGGCTCTCAACACAAGAATGGATCAAGCAGAAGAAATAATCAATGAGCATATAGACGGGCTTTTGAAAATACACAAGAAAAGGAAAAAGAAGAATAAAGAGGAATGAAGAATGCCTACATGTTATAAAATAATTACTGCAAAAGATCACAACTAAGAATTATTGGTGTTCAAGAGACAGTCCAGCCAGAGCAAGGGATGGAAAGCCTATTCAAAGGAATAATAATAGAAAGCATTCCAAATCTTGAGAAAGAGATATTCAGGTAGATAAAGGTCAGAAAACACTAAACAGATTTCAACCCAAACAAGACTACCCCTAGGCATATAATAAATAATGCAACTCTCAAATGTCAAGGACAAAGAGAGGATCCTAAAATCAGCAAGAGAAGAGAAGCGAATAACACCTAAAGGAGCTCCAATTTATCTGTGGACTGACTTCTCAGTGGAAACCATACAGGCCAGGAGGAACAGAGATGATGTTTTCTTAAGTGCTGAAAAAAATAAAAACCTGCCATCTAAGAACGCTGTATCCTACAAAGCAATCCTTTAAATATGAAGAAGAGATAGCCTTTCCCAGACAAGCAAAAACTGAGAGTATTCACCACCACCAGTCATATCTCATAAGAAATGCTAAAGAAAGTTTTTCAACCTGAAAGAAAAAAATATGCCAAAAGAAAACAGCTGAATATATATAGAATACACTGATAAAATTACATGTATTGACAAACCCAGAATACTCTAAAAACTATAATTGTGATGCACATCTACTGACATCTGTAGTATGAAGACCAGAAGACAAATCTATCAAAGACAATAATAGCTGCAGAAACCTGTTAAGAGGTAAGTAATAAAAATATGCAAGTTGAGACAACTAAATTAAATGTGTGAGCATGGAGTAAAATTACTTGTTACCTTGTTTCTATTCTTTTCTTTATGATATAAGTTGTTATCTCTTTAAAATAACTTGTTATATCTATAAGATGTTTTCATAAGCCTCACAGTAATCACAAGACAAAACCTATGACAGAGTCACTAAAAATAAAAAGCACCTAATTAATATATACTACCAGAGAAAATTATATGACCACAAAGAATGACCACAAGAAAACAGAGATAAATTTAAAAACAACCATAATACAAGCAACAAAATAGCCATAATAAATCCTTACTTAACAATAATAACACTGAACTTAAATGAAGTCAACTCTCCAATTAAAAGGCATAAAATGCAGGCCAGGTACAGTGGCTCATGGCTGTAATCCTAGAACTTTGGAAGGCCAAGGCAGAAGGATCCCATGAGGTCAAGAGCTCAAGAGTAGCCTGGTCAACATAGCAAAACCCCATTTCTACTAAAAAAACAAAACTTAGCTATTTGTGATGGTGGATACCTGTAATTCTGGCTACACAGGAAGCTGAGACAGGAGAATCGCTTTAATAAAAAAGGTGGAGGTTGCAGTGAGCCAAAATCATGTCACTGTACTCCAGCCTGGGCAACACAGCAAGACTGTCCCCATGCACCCCACCCCCCCAAAAAAAAAAGAAATGCAAGAGTAGCTATACTTATATCAGATAAAATAGACTACAAATCAAAGACTACTTTAAAAAGAGTCAGTGGTCACCGTATAATGCTAACAGGGTCATTTCATCAAAAGATATGACAGTTCTAAATATCTATAGACCCAACACCAGAGCTCCCAAAAATATAAAGCAAACATTCACTGATCTAAAGGGAGAGGTAGACTGCAATGCAATATTAGGAGATTTTAACACCCCCTCCTCAGTAACTGACAGATCATGTAAACAGGAAATCACCAAGGAAATAGTGGAATTACACTGCACACTTGACCAAATATATCCAACTGACATGTACACAAGCACTGCTGCAGAATACTCATTCTTTTTATCAGTACATGGGACAATCTGCAGAATAGACCACACATTTTAGGCCAAAAACAGATCTCAATATATTAAAAAAAAAAGTAGAAATCACAAGTATCTTTTCTTACCACAATGGGATGAAACTAGAAGTCAATAACTCAAGAAACCTCAGAAACTACACAAATACATGAAAATTAAATAACGTGCTCCTTAACAACCAAAGAGTCAATGATGAAATTAAGAAGAAAATTTTAAAAATTTCTTGAAACAAGTGAAAATGGAAGCACAATAAACCAAAATCTGTGGTATGCAGAAAAGCAGTACATAGAAGGAAGTTTATAGTAATAAATGCTTTTTAAAAAAAGAAAGACTTCAACTAAATAATCTAATGATGACCTCAAAGGATTTAGAAGAGCAAGAACATACCAAAGCCCAAATTAGTAGAAGAAAAGAAGTAATAAAAATCAGAGCAGAAATAAATGAAATGAGACTAAAAGAACAGCAAAGAAGATCAAGAAAATAAAAACAAAAAGCCACTTTTTAAAAAAGATACACAAATCAGCAAACTTTCTACTAGATGAAGAAAAAATAGAAAAACACTGAAATAAATAAAATCACAAACAAAGAAATCAAACAAATGAAAATGGAGACAAAACAGCTTACATCACATAGGGTCAGACAGGGTGGCTCATGCCTGTAATCCCAGCAGTTTGGGAGGCTGAGGTAGAAGGATTGCTTGAGCCTTGGAGTTCAAGACTAGCCTGGGCAACATAGCAAGATCCTATCTCTATTAAGATAACGCCATCATGAACAAGAACAACTGATACCACAAAAATACAAAGAATCAGTAGAGATTATTATAAAAAACTATATGCTAAAAATTGGAAACGCTAGAAAAAATGAATAAATTGCTGCACAAATGCAATCTACCAAGATAGAACCGTGAGGAAACAGAAAACCTCAATGAACCAATAATGGGTCATGAAGTTGAAGATGTTATCTTCCTATCTTTAGTACAGCAAAGATCAAGAAAGGGAAGAAACAGAATATATGTATATGACTGTCATCCTTTTTGGGATTGCGCATGCCGCAGTTCAGAACTTCTGTCATTGACATGGCATGGGGCAACTGGCATACTCACACACTTCTGCTGAGATTATCTACTATTTATGGCCAAATATATTTAAGTTAATCTGTGAATATTCTGTGCTTAATAATTCTTCTTATATTTCAAGTTATATTCAGTATTCATTAAAAAGACAAAAAATATAAAATATGCAGTTGTTCAAAACTACCTAATTTGCAATAGTCAAAATGTGGCACAATCTAAATGTTCATCCAAAGTGGAAAGATTAATATATGGTGGTATATACCTAGCAGTGAATGCACTATAGTAAACATCTGCTAATGGAGCCTAAGGCCAAATTAGCTCACCTTCTGTTTTTGCACAACCACCAGCTAAAAATGTTTTATGTTTTAAAAATAAACAAAATAATTAATAGAGGAACAATATTTTGTGACACATAGAATTTTATAATACTTACATTCCCTTGTTCAATTTTATTGACACACAGCCATGGTCAATGTCTATGCATTTTCTATGGCTGTGTTTCTGTGTTGAATTCAGCAGTTGCAGCAGAGGCTGTATGTCTAACAAAGCTTAAATATTTACTCTCTGGCCACTTTTAATAAAAAAAAATCCAATGCTTTCTATAATAGTGAGTTAATGAACTTCTACTATATATTATGACATTGAAAAATCACACCAGCATAATGTTGAATAAAAGGAAAAAGATACAAAGATGCATGCAAATTGCATGCTTGTATTTATGATACATGCAAATTGCATACTGTATTTTATAGGTATTTAACTTTGATCATATTTATATAAAGTTTTTTAATAGCCAAAACTAACCTAGAGCAATAGAACTCAACATACTCATTAACATTAACAAGAAAGTGTTGAACAGAAGTGAGATTATCATGGTAAATAATTTTACCATAATAATTTTTGTATCTCCTGATGCCTTACATAGGTCATGTAATTAATAAAATTGATTAATCGTTACTAATTAAATGTTATTATGAATAATGGAAAAAGAATGAGATACTGAGAAAAGATCATGATTGAGACAAAAAGGAATAGAATCATACATAGAAAGCCCTGAAAAATACGATAAAGGATGTAACTTACCAATCATTACAATACAATTAGATATCATCAGCACTGATTATAAAACACTTTTTATGTTGCTCAGAATATCTGAAAAATAAAAATAAAAACATTTAGGAGACTTCTTGTTCCAAAATAATGGTATAAAAGCAAGTTGGCTTTAATATTCCCCACAGAAAACAACAACAACAACAAATTAGTGCTGGGGTTATCACCAGCAATATCCCAGAACTCAAATATGAGAAGGAGACAATTCCTAGAGGCACAGATTAGTGAAAAAAACAAACAAAAAATCCATACAGATAATAAGAGAAGTAGACTGTCATATCTATGATGACTCTCACTGTAATCTTCCTGGTACCGAAGTGCATTGAAACATTGTTTCTATACTGGAAAACCTGAGATCAAGATAGATAACCAGCTTCCCCACCAGCTTGAGTTCCCTGGCAGGAAACTTGCCCACCTGCCTTAACACTTGGGAAAATCAGGGGTGCCCTGAAGGGAGACATATCTCTGCAGAGACAAAGTGTGTGTGTTGGGGGGGGACAAGACTACCATCCCCAGTACCAGAAACTCTGCTGTTACTTGGCCAAAGAAGATGCCAACTTAGAGGGACTGCCAAGCAACATTATGCTATAAGAAGTTTGTTCCACAAGTCCTGTGGGCTGGAATCCTAGTCAGTCTTCCAACACTACTAGCATATCCACTTTGGAACCTCTCCCATTTGGTATGGGTGGCAGTCTGATTGTTTACTAGGATCAAGGCAAACATGGGTTAAAGTACCATGTAGTCATAAAAACGAGGCAGAAACATAGCCCCCCAGCCCCCAAAATCCACAAGTAAATTACAAGGAATATTTAAACAAACATATTCAGTATAAACCAAAATAAGCCATATAAAATCCTTCAACATAGAAACATAGATGCATACCCATAAGAAACAACAGCAGACAGGGAACTGTGATATCCTCAAATGGAGAAAGTTGGAACCAGAGACAGATGTTAATGAGATGGCAATATGCGAGTACTTCTTTTTTTTTTCTTCAGAAATTAAAACATTTATTACATTAAGAACGGAGTAGGGATGGCCAGGAGGTTGCCGGCCTGGGTGGGTAGGCTGGAGGCTGGAGGCGGAAGGGCGGGGGGAATTGGGTCCATTCGGCCTCCCCCAGGGCAATGTCCACAGCTGTAGCCAAGGAAAAGGGCGATGCATGAGGGGCCAGGCCCATGCCTAGGTCGCGGTGAAGGCGGGGCACTCGGGCTGGTGGGGCAGGGGGCACCCTCTCTCAGCCCCTTCCCAACTTAAATAGGCATAAATAAAGTGTCCAGACCCTCAGGCCACCAGGGGCTGCCCTGCCCAGCCCGGTTCCGCAGCCTAACACTAGTGCCGGTCATCAGTTGGCTGGTCGGGAAGAGGCCACCCCGGGGAGGTAGTTGGAGTCAGTGCCCGGGGCGGACTGGCCCTCACAGCACGATCCACGCGTATCGCTCACTGTCTGCCAGAACCTTCAGGAAGCACCCTTTGTGCAGCGCCTCGTTGGTCATCCTGTTGATGCAGCAGCCGCTGCTCTGGGGCACCAGCCACTTCATGACTATGTCCGTGCAGCTCTTGCAGTAGGAGCTCCAGACACTGCCACTGGTCTGCTCTTTGACCTCGGTGAGGTCACCCACACTGACTGTCTCGAAGATGCCTGTGTTGAGGTCCCATGCTACCTTGAGGCTGGTGTGATAGGTCTTTGGTCGGAGCTGGCCCTCCTTGGTGAGGGACGGGAAGGTCAGGAGAAGCAGGCCAATGTTGATTAGGACCTGGTTGGTTTCTGGGCAGACGTCTAGAATGACTATGTCGTAGTCACTGAAAGAATAGAACTGGCGGCTCCCGGTGGCGTCATGGAGGATGACCTCATTGATGACATATTCGAAGTCCAGCGTGAGCAGCTCCACCGTCAGGGACTGGCCCTGGAGAGCAGTGCGCTCACTCATGGGCCGCAGGTTTCGGCCATGAAGATCGGTCACCACGAAGGGCAGGGAGATCTCGTCTTCCTCGAACTCATCCTGTGGCTCCGTCCCCTCTCTGGACTCCAGCACATAGTACAGCTTGGTGTTAATTGACGTAACCAGGCTCAGGGGCAGGCGCCTCCGAGGCAGAGGGGCTGCCCCGGGGTGCTGCCTCCCCACCCAGGGCTAGGGCCTCAGATTGTGCATGGCAGCAGCTGCCAGAGGGTCCCGGGCACCGAGCAGGCCGGGCTTCCTCAGGGGCACCGCCCTTGGCCTCTTTGGCCCGGCGAAAGATGTGAGCCACAAACTTCTTGGCTTTGGCGATGGCGGGTGAGGGCTCAGGAGACCCAGAGGAACGGGCTGGGACAGCTTCAGGGCAGAAGCTGGGGAGGGCAGGGGGATCTCTGGGCTCTGGGGCTCAGAGGGGCTGGCAGGCGCTGGGGGGCAGGTGCTGTGGTCATACAGGATTTGGCAGAAACTCCTGTCACCTGCCGAGTGGACAGAGACGGCACAGGCCACCAGGGAGTAGCTGGTGTTGAGCAGCACCACCTGGTCCTTCTTGAGCTGGAAGGCAGGCTGGAAGGTGGGGAAGGGGTAGACCACCTGGTACTTGGTGTGCAGCATGAAGCCGTGCCGCAGGCACTGTGCGTTCGGGTCTCCTGGGTGGGCCCGCCTGGCATCCTGGCAAGCAGCACAGAGGCCCGGCGGCGGCACGGCCACAGTGTTGACGTAGATGTCACCGTGGTTCTCATCGCTCATCATCATCATGTTCATGAGCATGCCGTTAGCCAAGCGGGTGTTGAAGCCGGAGACGATGACCGTGGTGGCATCGCTGGGCCATTCGCGTACGGTCAGGTACAGGTCGCTGTAGATCTCCTGGTCCTGGAAGACCCGGACCTGGCGGACCAGCTTGAGCTTGCTGTGGACGCGGAACTCCCGCCAGTACAGATGGCAGTGTAGAAGGAGAAGTCATCATCCCCACTGCTGCTGGTGTAGGAGAGGACGCAGCGGCCCAGCCTCCCCGTCCGCTGGGCGCTGCAGCCTTGGTGAGCCGCTGGAGTCTGGTTCTTACGCTCCTCTGCCCGCCGCGCCGCCTGGAGCAGCCGCTTCCGCGCCCGCTCCTCGCGCTTCAGCAGCATCTCCTCTGTGAGGGCGGGGACAGACAGCCCTCCGCCACCTGCAGCGGCAGCATCGGGGAAGGTTGACTACGTGCCTTCTGAAGCAGAGCTCGCTGTCGAGCAGTAAGCAGCCGCTCATTCATTTCCTTCTTGAGGTCTCCATTGTCATCCAGCTCCCCCTTCTCCAGGGCATCTAGCCACCTCTGCTCCTCCTCTTCCTCCTGACCCTCTAACCCTCCTAATAGGTCCCGAAGTGGAGAGGGACACAGATTACTGTCTTCATCCAGCCAGGCACGGTATTGCTCAATGGGGACTCCTTCCATAGGTTCCTCTTCATTATCCACAACCATAAGGGGAGAGGGTGAGCGAGGCCCCTCTGGGATCACAGTGAAGGTAGGAACACTCTTGGTCCCCAGGACTTGTCTCCCCAGCTTGATTTTGAGTTTGAACTGGGGCTTGGCAGGAGACGGCTGCGTGGGCCCGGCCTCTTCTTGATGGTGTTTCTTCTTGTGCTTCTTGTGTTTTTTCCTGTGCACTCCATGGACATGGGCACCTGCCAGGCTCAACTCCAGGGTTTCTCCCGGCTCAGGGGCCTCCATAGCCCCGGAGGTACTCCCACGCCACCACGGACCTTACTTATGAGTTCTTGCAAGGAAAGGGGACTAGAAATGGTTGGGACACACGCAGACATGCATTCAAAATAGTAGTTTTAAGAAAACTCAGTGGTCTCCAAAATAACACACACAAAAAATCAGATATTTATCAGAGAAATTTAACAAAGGAATTGAAATACTTTTTGAATATCAAAAGGAAATATTGGAACTGAAAAATACATTTGCTTAACTGAAAATTTCATTAGAGGCTCTCAACAGGAGAATGGATCAAGCAGAAGAAATAATCAATGAGCATGTAGACGGGCTTTTGAAAATACACAAGAAAAGGAGAAAAAATAATAAAGAGGAATGAAGAATGCCTACTTGTTATAAAAAAAATTGCTGCAGAAGACCACAACTAAGAATTATTGGTGTTCAAGAGAGAGTCCAGCCAGAGCAAGGGGTAGATAGCCTATTCAAAGGAATAATAATAGAAAGCATTCCAAATCTTGAGAAAGAGATATTCAGGTAGATAAAGGTCAGAAAACACCAAACAGATTTCAACCCAAACAAGACTACCCCTAGGCATATAATAAATAATGCAACTCTCAAATGTCAAGGACAAAGAGAGGATCCTAAAATCAGCAAGAGAAGGGAAGCAAATTGCATCTAAAGGAGCTCCAATTTATCTGAGGACCGACTTCTCAGTGGAAACCATACAGGCCAGGAGGAACAGAGATGATGTTTTCTTAAGTGCTGAAAAAAATAAAAACCTGCCATCTAAGAACACTGTATCCTACAAAGCAATCCTTTAAATATGAAGAAGAGATAGTCTTTCCCAGACAAGCAAAAGCTGAGAGTGTTCACTACCACCAGACATATCTTACAAGAAATGCTAAAGAAAGTTTTTCAACCTAAAAGAAAAAAACATGCAAAAGGAAAACAGCTGAATATATATAGAATATAGTGATAAAATTACATGTATCGACAAACCCAGAATACTCTAAAAACTATCATTGTGATGCACATCTACTGACATCTGTAGTATGAAGACCAGAAGACAAATCTATCAAAGACAATAACAGCTGCAGAAACCTGTTAAGAGGTAGGTAATAAAAATATGCAAGTTGAGACAACTGAATTAAAAAATGTGTGAGGGTGGAGTAAAAGCATTTGTTACCTTGTTTCTATTCTCTTCTTTATGATATAAGTTGTTATCTCTTTAAAATAACTTGTTCTATCTATAAGATGTTTTCATAAGCCTCATAGTAATCACAACACAAAACTTATAATAGAGTCACTAAAATAAAAAGCACCTAATTAATATATATCACCAGAAAAAATTATATAACCACAAAGAATGACAATAAGAAAAGAAAAATATTTTTGGAAACAAGCATAAAACAAGCAACAAAATAGCCATAGTAAATCCTTACTTAACAATAATAACACTGAACTTAAATGAAGTCAACTCTCCAATTAAAAGGCATAAAATGCAGGCCAGATGAGGTGACTGATGCCTGTAATCAACTTTAGGAGGCCAAGGCAAGTAGATCACTTGAGATCAGAAGCTCAAGACAAGCCTGGCCAACATAGCAAGACCCTGCTTCTACTAAAAATACAAAACTTAGCTAGGTGTGGTGGTAAACGTCTGCTATCCTGGATACACAGGAGGCCGAGGCAGGAGAATTGCTTGAATCCAAAAGTGGAGGTTGAAGTGAACCAAGATCATGCCACTGCACTCTAGCCTGGGCAACAAAGCAAGGCCGTCTCACAAAATAAATAAATAAATAAATAAATAAATAAATAAATACATAAAATTTATAAAAGAGGCTGAATTGGTAAAGAAAAAAACCCTGACTCTATGCAGCCTGCTAGAAATCCACTTCATCTATAAAGGCACAGAGAATGAAAGCGAAGGGATGAACAAAGATATTTCATGCAACTAGAAAGCATAAAAGCAGGAGTAGTTATACAAGATAAAATAGACTACAAATCAAAGACTACTTTAAAAAGAGATAAAGGTATACTATATATACCTTTATAGTATAAAGGTATGCTATATAAAGAGATAAAGATATACTATATAACGCTAAAAGGGTTAATGCAGCAAGAGGATATGACAGTTTAAAAAATCTATGAACCCAACATCAGAGCTCTCAAGTATATAATGCAAACATTCATTGATCTAAAGGGAGAGGTAGACTGCATTGCAATAATATTAGGAGACTTTAACTGTCAGTAATGGACAGATCATCTAAACAGGAAATCAACAAGTAAATATTGGAGTTACAGTGCACACTTGAGCAAATATATCCAACTGACACGTACAGAAGCACTGCTGCAGAATACTCATTCTTTTTATCAGTACATGGGACAATCTGCAGAATAGACCACATTTTAGGCCAAATGAAAGTCTCAATGAATTCAGAAGAGTAGAAATCACATCAAGTATCTTTTCTTACCACAATGGGATGAAACTAGAAGTCAATAACTCGAGAAACCTCAGACACTACACAAATACAAGAAAATTAAATAATGTGCTCCTTACCAACCAAAGAGTCAATGATGAAATTAAGAAGAAAATTTTAAAAATTTCTTGAAACAAATGAAAATGGAAGCACAATAAACCAAAATCTGTGGTATGCAGAAAAGCAGTACATAGAAGGAAGTTTATAGTAATAAACGCTTTTTAAAAAAAGGTAGAAAGACCAAATAAATAACCTAAAGATGACCTCTGAGGATTTAGAAGAGCAAGAACATACCAAAACCCAAATTAGTAGAAAAAAAGAAGTAATAAAAATCAGAGCAGAAATAAATGAAATTGAGACTAAAAGTACAACATAGAAAGAAGATCAAGAAAATAAAAACAAAAGGTGTGGCTTCTGTTATAAGTGCAGCACAAAATCGCAGAGCTAGACCCAAAGAGGCGATTTATATTGGAACATGGTCTTCTCAGACATAGTTAGTGGAAACTGATGAACAAAGACCATTGTAACACTTTGGTGTCTTATGAAAAGATAAACAAAATATTAAAAAGGTAAACAAAGCCGGGCGCGGTGGCTCACGCTTGTAATCCCAGCACTTTGGGAGGCCGAGACGGGTGGATCACGAGGTCAAGAGATCGAGACCATCCTGGTCAACATGGTGAAACCCCGTCTCTACTAAAAATACAAAAAGTCAGCTGGGCATGGTGGCGCGTG